CACCGTGCCAGGCCCCTTCACTCTTAAAATTCGTAATTCTTTTATCGTTGAACTTGTTTTGTAAGTAAAATCCCATGGTACAAAGGAGTATAAGCATGAGCAGGAGCGATAAACCAGCAGCAGGGTGGGGGACTCCGGCCTGCGGGCAACGTGGGCAGGGCAGGCGCCTGAGCCATTCTTGAGGTGCACAGTGCGCACGCGCAGGCCTCGCCCCGGCGGAGGGGCTGGAATAGACCTCGGAGCAGCTGTGGCCATTGTAACAGCCGGAGGGCGGCGGACGGGAGGACGGCTGTGCGCATTTGTCTTTGGAGTCTGTCCTTGCAGCGCCTAGCCCGCCTATTTGTTCATACTGGGCAAATGTTGTCAGTAAATCACTACAAAACAGAAGCGTCCACGTGGACATTGCCATCAAGCACATCAGGGTTTACTGGACTTCTGCAATGAGTTTAGACTCTCTGGTTTTGAAAACTGCTGCAGCGTTGCAAAAGTTAATATCCACAGGCTTAGAAATAGAAATTAAAGGCCAGGCGCGGTGGCTCACGCCTGTAATCCCAGCACTTTGGGGCTGGCGGATCACCTGAGGTCAGGAGTTCGAGACCAGGCTGACCAATATGATGAGACCAAGTCTCTACTAAAAATACAAAAACTAGCCGGGCGTGGCGTCTGTGGCATGTGCCTGTAATCCCAGCTACTTGGAGGGGGGCTGAGACAGGAGAATCGCTTGAACCCCGGAGGCAGAGGTTGCAGTTAGCTGAGATAGCACCACTGCACTCCAGCTGGGCAATAAGAGCAAAACTCTGTCAAAAAAAAAGAAAGAAAGAAATAGAAATTAAATTTAAAGAGTGTCACATTCAACAGAAAACACTTTTCATATGATGCTTCGGATGAACCAGTAATTAGGGAGAAAGGCAATTTTAAAACAGCTTTTGACTGGAGACAGTGGCTCACGCCTGTAATTTCAGCACTGTGGGAGGCTGAGGCCAGTAGATCACCTGAGGTCAGGAGTTCCAGACCAGCCTGGCCAACACGGGGACTGTACTAAAAAAACCATCTGTACTAAAAAAACCAAACAAACAAAAATTAAGGCCAGGCTTGGTGGCTCACGCCTGTAATCCCAGCACTTTGGGAAGCCAAGGTGGGCAGATCACGAGGTCAGGAGATGGAGACCATCCTGCTAACATGGTGAAACCCCGTCTCTACTAAAAATACAAAATATTAGCCAGGCGTAGTGGCACATGCCTGTAGTCCCAGCTACTTGGGAGACTGAGGCAGAATAATTGCTTGAACCTGGGAGGCCGAGGTTGCAATGAGCCAAGATCTTGCCACTGCACTCCAGCCTGGGTGATAGCATGAGATGCCGTCTCAAAAAGAAAAAAAAAAAAAAGATACAATAAAGTCCTAATCCTCAGTACTGCGGAATGTGAACTTATTTGGAAATAGAGTTGTTGCAGATGTAATCAGTTAAGATGAAGTCATAGCGGAGTAAGGCAGGCCTCTATTCCAATATGACTGGTGTCCTTATAGGAAAAGGAGAGAGGCCGGGCACCAAGGTTCACGCCTGCAATCCCAATAGTTTGGGAGGCTGAGGTGGGCCGATTGCCTGGGCTCAGGAGTTGGAGACCAGCCTGGGCAACATGGTGAAACCCTGTCTCTATAAAAATGCAAAAATTAGCCGAGCATAGAAGCGCAGGCCTAGAGTCCCAGGTATTTGTGGGGCTGAGGCAGGAGGATTGCTCCAGCCCAGGAAGTCAAGGCTGCGGTGAGCTGGGTTCACACCACTGCATGCCAGCCTGGGTGACGGCACAAGATGATGTCTCTGAAAAATAAAAATAAAAAAGGAGAGGGCCGGGCGCAGTGGCTCATGCCTGTAATCCCAGCACTTTGGGAGGCCGAGGCAGGGGGATCATCTGAGGTCAGGAGTTTGAGACCAGCCTGGCCAACATGGAGAAACTCCATCTCTTCTTTTTTTTTTTTTTTTTTTTTTTTTTTTTGAGACAGAGTCTTGCTCTGTCGCCCAGGCTGAAGTGCAGTGGTGCGATCTCGACTTACTGCAAGCTCCGCCTGCTGGGTTCACGCCATTCTCCTGCCTCAGCCTCCCAAGTAGCTGGGACTACAGGCACCCGCCACCGCGCCGGCTAATTTTTTGTATTTTTAGTAGAAACGGGGTTTCACCATGTTCGCCAGGATGGTCTTGATCTCCTGACCTTGTGATCCGCCCGCCTCAGCCTCCCAAAGTGCTGGGATTACAGGCATGAGCCACCACGCCCGGCCTCCTGTGCTTTTAATTGTAGATAATGGATTGATTTTCTGGGCAGGTGGCTGCAGGTTATCAGTCATCATTCTAGTTTATTTATTTATTAGAGATGAGGTCTCTCAATGTTGCCCGAAGTAATGAACTCAACTCCAGGGTTCAAGTGATCTTCCTGTCTCAGCCTCCCGAGTAGCTAGGTAGTCCCAACTGTGGCACCACTACTGCTCAGAGTACTCTTTTTAGTTTTATTATGATTAATTTATATATTTATCTCTTTTTGAACAAAGTTTTGCTCTGTCACCCAGGCTGGAGTGCAGTGGCACACTCATAGCTCACTGTAGTCTCAAACTCCTGGGCTCAAACAATCCTCCTTCCTTCGTGTTCCAAGTAGCTGGGACTACAGGTGTGCACTACCACACCCAACTAGTTTTAAACATTTTTTGTAGCTGGGCATGGTGGCTCACGCCTGTAATCCCAGCACTTTGGGAGGCCAAGGCGGTGGATCACCGGAGGACACGAGTTCGAGAACAGCCTGGCCAACACGGTGAAACCCTATCTCTACTTAAAATACAAGAAAATGAGCTGGGCATGGTGGCACGCGCCTGTAATCCCAGCTACTCAGGAGGCTGAGGCACCAGAATCCCTTGAACCTGGGAGGCGGAGGTTGCAGAAAGCAGAGATCACGCCACTACACTCCAGCCTGGGCGAAAGAGCGAGACTCTGTCTTGAAAAAACAAAGCAAAACCATTTTTTGTAGAGACGAGGTCTCACTATGTTACCCAGGGTGGTCCAAGCTCCTGAGCTCAAGTGATCCTCCCATCTTGGCCTCCCAAAGTGCTAGGAATATAGACATGGACCGCCACGCCTGGGCTTCTTGCTACCCCTTAACAATCGGGCAGCTCCTCCTTAGGCTTTTACACACAGCTCTTCCTTCTACTCCAATGCCTTTCCTTCAGGAAATCCCAAGGTCACTGTAGACAAATAAAATAGATTTTTAGAGCTCCTTTAAAAATTTTATTTTATTGTTTAAATTGACAGAATTGTATTTATCATATGTAACATGATGTTCTGTATATATACATTGTGGAATGACTAGATCTAGCTAATTAACATAGCTAATTAACATTACCTCACATAGCTATCATTTTTGTGGTAAGAATGCATAACGTCCACTCTGTTAGCATTTTTCAAGAATACATTATATTGTTATTAACTATAGGCACCATGGTGTATGGTGGAGCTCCTTGGAACATCTCTGAACATAGGCTGATGGCATTACACCAATGAACGGGCACAAAATGATGTGGTCTACATTTGTCATTCTCTGAAGGTCTGGCTGACGGATAAAATGTTGACTATGAGGGCAGAATTGGAGGTCTCCATTTATTTCAAAACATTCCCTAAGTAGATAGCTTTTTGACCAAAGTAGATAGCTTTTTGACTGGCGTGGTGACTCAGGCCTATAATTCCAGCACTTTGGGAGGTCGAGGTGGGTAGATTGTTCGAGCCCAGGAGTTTGAGACCAGTCTAGTCAACATAGAGAGATCTTTCCCTTCTTCCCTCCCTCCCTCCCTCCCTCCCTCCCTCCCTCCCTCTCTCTCCCTCCCTCCCCTCCCTTCCTTCCTTCCTTCCTTTCCTTCCTTCCTTCCTTCCTTCCTTCCTTCCTTCCTTCCTTCCTTCCTTCCTTCCTTCCTTTTTAAAAATTATTTTTATAGCCGGGCATGGTGACTCAACGCCTGTAATCCCAGGACTTTAAGAAGCTGAGGTGAGCAGATCACCTGAGATCAGGAGCTGGATACCAGCTGGGCCAACATGGTAAAACTCCACCTCTACTAAAAATACAAAAATTGGTCAGGTGTGGTGGTGGGAGCCTGTAATCCCAGCTACTTGGGAGGCTGAAGCAGGAGAATCACTTGAACCTGGGGAGCAGAGGTTGCAGTGAGCTGAGATCACGCCACTGCACTCCAGCCTTGGCAACAGAGCGAGACTCTGTCTCAAAAAATATATATATATTTGTTATATATATATATATTAAAAAAAAATAATTTTTTTTTTTTTGAGATGGAGTCTCACTGGGTTACCCAGGCTGGAGTGCAATGGTGCAATCTCGGCTCACTGCAACCTCCGCCTCCTGGGTTCAAGCAGTTCTCCTGCCTCAGCCTCCTGAGTAGCTGGGATTACAGGCATGCACCACCACGCCCAGCTAATTTTTGTATTGTTAGTAGGGATGGGGTTTCACCATATTAGCCAGGCTGATCTCGAACTCCTGACCTTGTGACCCGCCTGACTCAGCCTCCCAAAGTGCTGGGATTACAGGCATGAGCCACCGCGCACGGCCTATTATTTTTTTTTAAATTTTTTTATTTTTGAGACGGAGTCTTGCTCTGTCGCCCGGGCTGGAGTGCAGTGGCCAGATCTCAGCTCACTGCAAGCTCCGCCTCCCAGGTTTTCGCCATTCTCCTGCCTCAGCCTCCCGTGTAGCTGGGGCTACAGGCGCCCGCCACCTCGCCCAGCTAGTTTTTTATATTTTTTAGTAGAGGCGGGGTTTCACTGTGTTAGCCAGGATGGTCTCGATCCCCTGACCTCGTGATCCGCCCGTCTCGGCCTCCCAAAGTGCTGGGATTACAGGCTTGAGCCACCGCGCCTGGCCTTTTATTTATTTATTTATTTTAAAAAAGAGTTTGCTTGTTTGATGCAAACCTGGTACCTCTTTTGTGAAGCGGCAGCTGAGGAGACTCTGACACTCGCCATGGCCAACGAAAAGCCCAAGGAAGGAGTCAAGGCTGAGAACCACGATCATATTAATTTGACAGTGGCAGGGCAGGATGGTTCTGTGATGCAGTTTAAGATTAAGAGGCATACACCAATCAGTAAACTACTGAAAGCCTATTGTGAACGACAGGGATGGTCAATGAGGCAGATTAGATTACAATTCGATGGGCAACCAATCAATGAAACAGACACACCTGCACAGCTGGAAATGGAGGCTGAAGATACAATTGATGTGTTCCAACAGCAGACGGGAGATGTCTACTGAAAAGGGAACCTGCTTCTTTTCTCCAGAACTCTGTTCTTTAAAGACCAAGATTACGTTCTCAATTAGAAAACTGCAATTTGGTTCCACCATATCTTGACTACTACAGTATAGTTTTTTCTATTCTTTCATTTCCCCCTTCCCCATAAAGTAACTGGTATACGTGCACAAGCATATTGCATTTTTTTTTTGTAACTAAACAGCCAATGGTATGTTTTGATTGACATCAAGTGGAGACGGAATGGGAAAAATACTGATTCTGTGAAAATACCCCCTTTCTCCATTAGTGGCATGCTCATTTAGCTCTTGGTATTCCAGTAAGTTATTTTGCTCTCACTGTTTTAACAAAAATAAAAATAAAAAGATAAAAATAAAAATCCTTGCATACCTTGTTCAATTGGAGAATTTTAATGTTTTTCATTTATCATTGTAAAACCAAGGACAATTTTGTAACTTTTTTGTACGTAGCTGTTACATGCAGGGCAATATGTCTTTAAGTAGGGATAAATTACTCTAAAACAAAAAAGAATCCTATATAGTTTTCCTTTCAAGTCAAGCATCTTGTTGTTTAAATAAACTTCTTGTTTAAAAAATAAAATAAAATAAAAAAGAGTTTTTACTAAGATGGGGATCTCATCATGTTTCCCAGGCTGGTCTTGAGCTCCTGGGCTCAAGCATGTTTTGTGGCTCATCCACATTCATGTATTAGTACTTCATGCTTTTTTCTTTTTCCTTTCTGTCTTTGTTTCTTTTTTTTCTTTTTAATGGAGTTTTGCTCTTGTTGCCTGGACTGGAGTATAATGGCATGATATTGGCTCACTGCAACCTCTGCCTCCTGCGTTCAAGCGATTCTCCTGCCTCAGCCTCCCGAGTAGCTGGGATTACAGGCATGTGCCACCACGCCTGGCTAAATTAAATTTTTAGTAGAGACAGGGTTTCGCCATGTTGGTCAGGCTGGTCTCGAACTCCTGAGCTCAGGTGATCCACCCGCCTCGGCCTCCCAAGTGCTGGGATTATAGGTGTGAGCTACCGTGCCTGGTCTACTTCATGCTTTTTTGTGGCTGAGTAATATCTCATTGTGTGTATACCATGTTTTGTGTAACTGTTCATCCGCTGTTGGACATTTGGGTTATTTCTATCTTTTAGCTCTTGTGAATAGTGCTGCTATGAATATTTGTGTAGAAGCATTTGTTTGAATCCCTGCTTTCAATTATTTTGGGTTTCAAGTAGAAATGGTGGGTCCTGTGATGATTCTATAATTGCTTTTTAAGAAACAGAGAAACTGTTTTCCATAGTGGCTGCAGTATTTTACAGTCACACCAGCAATGTAAGAGGGAGGGGTCAAATAATAAATTTGCCAACATTTGTTATTTCCTACTTAAAAAATTATAGCCACACCGGGTGTGGTGGCTCACGCCTGTAATCCCAGCACTTTGGGAGGCCAAGGCAGGTGGATCACCTGAGGTCAACAGTTTGAAACCAGCCTGGCGAACACGATGAAACCCCGTCTCTCCTAAAAATACAGAAATTAGCCGGGCATGCTGGTGGGAGCCTGTAATCCCAGCTACTCAGGAGGCTGAGGCAGGAGAATCACTTGAACCCTGGAGGCAGAGGTTGCAGTGAGTCAAGATGGCACCATTGCATTTCAGCCTGGGCGATAGAGTGAGACTCTGTCTCAAAAAAAAAAAAAAAATTATAACCCTCCTAGTGGGCATGAAGTGCTATATCATGGTTTTGATTAGTATATACCTAGTGACTGATGATGAGAAACTGTTATCTTCTTTGGAGAAATATTTAAGTCCTTTGCCCATTTTAAAAATTGCACTTTTTGCCAGGTGTGGTGGATCATGCCTATAATCCCAGCACTTTGGTGGACTGAGGCAGGCGGATCACCTGAGGTCAATTTGAGACCCACCTGACCAACATGGAGAAACCCTGTCTCTACTAAAAACACAAAATTAGCCGGGCGTGGTGGTGCATGCTACTCGGGAGGCCGAGGCAGGAGAATCGCTTGAACCCAGGAGGCGGAGGTTGCAGTGAGCTGAGATCGTGCCATTGCACTCCAGCCCGGGCAACAGGAGAGATGCTCCGACTCAAAAAAAAAAAAGAGTGAGATTCTGTCTTAAAACAAAGACAAAACCAAAAACAAAATTAATGACAAGAGTGAAACTCCATCTCAAAATAAATAAATAAATAAAATTGCACTTTTTTGTCTTTGTTGAGCCACTGCATCTGTTTATTTCTGTTACACAACAATGATTAATACTTTTAATCATGACCCAGAAGCACATCCAGAAATAATATATTAGAGTCACCATAATTTTTGTATTAGGAGATTATCATATTTCAATTATTTGACAATAATCCAAATATAATGAACATAACCATTAATGAGACTATTTGATAGAGCATCTCATTCTTCAGCATCTTTCTTCCTTCCTTCCTTCCTTTTTTTTTTTTTGAGACGGAGTCTCACTGTGTTGCCCAGCCTGGAGTGCAGTGGTGCGATCTCAGCTCACTGCAACCTCTGCCTCTCGGGTTCAAGTAATTCTCTTGCCTCAGCCTCCTGAGTAGCTGGGATTACAGATGCCCCCCACGATGCCTAACTTTTGTATTTTTGGTAGAGACGGGCTTTCACCATGTTGGCCAGGCTGGTTTTGAACTCCAAACCTCAAGTGATCTGCCCACCTCGGCCTCCCAAAGTGCTGGGATTACAGGTATGAGCCACCGCCTCTGGACTCTTCAACATATTTCATTGAGTAATGAGGTTTGCTAAGTAAATTGCTTTTCAGGTACTATACCATATGGATTTGCAGGAAACAGTTTTGTATAGGCTGTCTAGTCACCCCATATAACAACTAAAGCAAAGTTGGCTGCTTGGAGAAGTTTTTTTTTTTTTTTCTTTTCTCACCAGAGGTTGAATGCTGGAAAAAGTTTTTGGTTTTGACATTTTCCACCCTTGATTTTAAGCATATTTAATAACAACTGTAATAATTTCAAAGTAATTAGGTGTTACCGGGATGCTAGAAGTTTCTAACAATAGGTTATTATTATGTGCTTTGCCAAAAATACTAAATTCAGTGGCCAAGTATTGTACTGGCCTGCAGGAAAAGCATAAGAAATAATGGGGTTGAGTCCAAGGGAGAAAGTAAAGGTTCCTTTTATTCTGAATGATCTAGCTTAGTCTTAAATTTGTACAATACCCAACCTCTCTGCTTTGGTGAACCTTGGTGATCATCTATCCTATAGAATTAAAAATGTGGTGGTGGCTGGGCATAGCGGCTCACGCCTGTAATCCTAGCACTTTGGGAGGCTGAGGCGGGTAGATCACCTGAGGTCAGGAGTTCGAGACCAGCTTAGTCAATATGGTGAAACTCTGTCTCTACTAAAAACACAAAAATTACCCGGGCATGGTGGCAGGTGCCTGTAGTCCCAGCTACTCGGGATGGGGAGGCTGAGACAGGAGAATTGCTTGAACCCAGGAGGCAGAGGTTGCAGTGAGCCAAGACTGTGCCACTGCACTCCAGCCTGGAGGACAGAGGGAGACTCCTCTCATAAACAAACAAACAAACAAACAAACAAACAAAAACATGGCAGGGCAAGGTGGCTCAGGCCTGTAATTCCAGCACTGTGGGAGGCCAAGGTGGGTGGATCACTTGTGTTCAGGGGTTTGAGACCAGTCTGGGCAACATGGTAAAACCCTGTCTCTACAAAAAATAAAAAAAATTAGCCAGGAATGGTGGCACACACCTGTAGTCCCAGCTACTCAGGAGGCTAAGATCGAAGGATTGCTTGAGCCTGGGGGGCAGAGGTTGCAATGAGCTGAGATGGCACCACTGCACTCCAGCCTGGGCGACAGAGACTCTGTCTCAAAAATAAGTAAATAAATAGAAATAAAACATAAAAAATAAAAACGTGCGCAATGAATTTTCTTGGGCAAAAACCAAAAGTCAACTCTCTTGACCTTCATTTCCAGCTCTAAAGGCCACTGTACCTTAACTTAGTCAAATGACCAGATGGGAAATGATTGCATTTTCAGCCAAGAAACGCAGTGCTAGGATCTTTTGTGTTTGCTAAATCTTCAGAAATGACATTAATTTCGCTATTGGAAGGAAGCCATATAGTACTTTTAGATTAAAATCCTGAGGATTCTTTTTTTTTTTTGAAACTGAGTTTTGCTCTTGTTGCCCAGGCTGGAGTGCAATGGCATGATCTCGGCTCACTGCAATCTCTGCCTCCTGGCTTCAAACGATTCTCTTGCCTCAGCCTCCCAAGTAGCTGGGACTACAGGCACCTGCCACCACATCTGCTAACTTTGTATTTTTAGTAGAGACAGAGTTTCGCCATGTGGCCAGGCTGGTCTTGAACTCCTGGCCTCAAGTGATCCGCCTGCCTCGGCCTCCCAAACTGCTGGGATTACAGGCATGAACCACCATGCCTGGCCACAAATAGGCTCTTAAATTTCATCAAGATTATACTCTTGATTTGGTTTTGATTTAGATTTAAAAAAATGATAGCTACACCAACAGGTACATCAGCCAGATACAATTATGTAGTGTCTCCTTCCAAAGAGAGAAGCTTTGCCCACTGGGATTGAATCTTATTAACCTTGGCCTAATTGTGGTCTTGAGCTGTCGCTCATTTATTATTTATCTTCATACCCTCTAACCTGGTTCTCTATCCATTTTGAACAAACAAGACAGCCCTAAGGGCTCTCTTAAGCCACCTAAAATATAGACATTCTACCACTCACCCTAGTTCCCTAGGGCCTCCCCTTACAAAAACTGGCTGAACCTGGCCGGACCAGCAGCAGGGTTCCTGAGATAAATAAGCCTTAATATTTGCATTCTTCAAGAAATCCAAGATATACCAAAGGTCCAATATCCTAAAATATATAAAATAAAAATAATTTAAAAAAGAAAAATAAATCCAAGACTAAAAAGCTATTGGGCCGGGTGCGGTGGGTCACACCTGTAATCCCAGCACTTTAGGAGGCTGAGGTGGGCAGATCATGAAGTCAGGAGTTCGAGACCAGCCTGGCTAACATAGTGAAACCCCATCTGTATTAAAAATACAAAAAATTAGCT